ATAACTTAATTACGTCAGATAAACTAGAAATTGTAGAAATCTTAGCTGATCACTATCAACTATATTCGAGCAATGATCAATACAACTCTACATTTTTAAAACACAAAGAAAAAACCGAATTATCACAAATCAAAATAGAAGATATTTTATGCCCTCTCAATATACCGATTACAATAGAGGAGTTAAACGAAAGCTTAGGCCATGCTAAAAAAACTTCTTCAGGACCTGATGATATTCCAACAATATTTATTGAGAAACTACCTGAAACAGTAAAGAAAATTTTAGTTGACATCTTTAACAATATTTACACAAATAAAACGTTTCCTTTAATATGGCGTCAAGCAATTATCATTCCTTCTTTAAAAATGAATAAGCCAAAAACCTTACCATCCTCCTATCGTCCAATATCTCTCACCAGTAACATTTGCAAAGCAATGGAGAGAATATTGAGTAAAAGACTGAAATGGCACTTGGAAAAGGAAAAACTTTTTACTCCAATACAAAGCGAATACCGTTCAGACAGATCGACAGCTGATAACATTGTTGCACTAGAATCCGAAATACATAAAGCATTTACAAATCAACAAAAAGTAATTGCAATATTTTTCGACATTAAAAAAGCTTTCGACACAACATGGAAGCATTATATCCTCAAAATTATGAAAAACTGGAAAATAGATGGTAACTTTCTCGCTTTCACCAAAAATTTTCTTCAAAACAGGTCCATACAAGTAAAAACGAATGGATTCATGTCAACATCGAAATCACTTCATAATGGAATTCCTCAAGGATCGGCCTTAAGTCCACTATTATTTTTAATCGCAATAAATAATATAACAAACCACATAAAGCTTCCCGTAAAAGCTAATCTGTTTGCTGATGATCTAGTAATATATGTTAAAAGTAAAAATATAGAATTAGCTACGCAAATTTTACAGAGAACATTAAACAGCTTAGAAATGTGGTCTTTAGAGACTGGTTTAACTTTTTCAACTGAGAAGACTAAAGTAATAATGTTTGACAAACGAAGAGCAGAATACAACTTAAACTTGTATCTAAATGGCCATCCTCTAAAACAAGTCCGCGAAATTAAATTTTTGGGTGTAATATTTGACTCACAACTCACATGGACTTCACATATCAACAATTTGATCAAATCCTGTCAACAAGGAATAAACTTACTAAGAGTTTTATCCAATCATAAATGGGGATCAGATACTAAAATTCTTCTTAATTTATATCAGACATTAATAAGAAGCAAACTCGACTACGGATGCATCTGTTATGAAACAGCAAATAAAAATCAACTAAAAAAACACCTCCCTGGACATTTTCTTTACCAATAGTAGACCTCTCCTTATTTAATCATGATAAGCATTTACACAATTCTGCAGAGATCAGGCTTCAGTATCATACAAATTTACTCAAATATTCCACTCACAAATTGTTTTTTACTGATGCCTCCAAAACTTGCAACGGAGTAGCAGCTGCTATTGTATCAGAAAACTTAATTTCTGCCACTAGATTAACTCACGGCTGTAGTATTTATACTGCAGAGCTACAAGCAATACTTGACGCACTAAATCATTGTAAAACCATAAATGAAAAACAAATACTAATTTTATCAGATTCATTAAGCTCTTTACAGGCCATTAAACATGTTTATCCCACACACATCAATCTATTCCTAATTAAGGACGCGTTGCAACAGCTCAAATTTTCTGGGAAAATTATATCATTTATGTGGGTCCCATCCCATGTCGGAATATCTGGTAATGAGCTAGCAGACAAAACAGCGTTTGAAGCAATAAATAATGTAAACATTCCGACTACAACAGATGTACCAATATCAGATACTAAGACTTTATTTAAGACTCATGTAAATAAAATATGGCAAGAAATATGGGATCAAACAAACACAAATCTTAAAAATATCAAACCAGACGTATCCTCAAAAAATCTTGGTATACCACCAAAACGAAAAGACCAGGTAATTATCAGCAGACTCCGACTTGGGCATACACGACTTACACACGGCTACATAATCTCCAAAGAACCATTACCAATGTGCCAAAGATGCCAAACACCTTTAACAGTCAACCATATATTAATAGAATGTCCAGAGTACACCTCAGCCAAGGCGATATTCAAGATACCCAACAGCCTGAAAGAAGCACTGGATATAAAATTCAATGAAGTTCTGTCTTTTTTTAAAACACTGTAAACTCTATAATAAATTGTGATTTAATTTTTGTTACATTTACATACATGTACATAATACCATATGCTGTAAGTCATGACTTTTAAAATGTATCTTATTTTCTATATTTGTATTATAAACCTACCGCTAATAACCCTAGTGGTTGATGCGGATAAATAAAAATAAAAAAAAACACCTAAAAAAAAAAAACTTACAATATGTTGAAGATATAGGGGTAATGTGTTCTTAATTTGGCTTCACGTGCCAGAAGCATTATTTAAATTTTTGATGGGCATCAACGGTACCTGCTAAGTTATGACACAAGTTACTCTCATATTTTTCTTGCTCTAAAGATTACTATTTGTCTCCTTTTTGAATCCACTTTACAGTTATAGGTTAATCAATACATTATCAATAATTAGTAATAATTTAAAGAGAATAATAACAGTTTTGTAATAATTTTTGTTAACAAGTCATTGTTAGCATGTTAGCACAAGACATATTAATAATCATCTGAACTTAAGTTTTTATACCTGCCCTGTATACAATATAGGGCTGTTCCACTTTTTCCATACATACACATATACTGCTTAATCATTACCTTACTCATAAACTGATTAAAAGAATAAATGTTATCAGCTTGTGTCACTTCTTTTCACATTAAAATGTTCAAAATGGCCATTTTAATTTACATTTTGTATAATAAACATATATAGCATATGTGATAATATATTATCAAACAGTATTTTGTAAGATCTCTGAAGTAACTCTTCTTATGCATGATTATCATGATGGCATTTTTTCATGACATTGGGATTGTTTTAGTTTCTCGGCATCTATTAAATAGAACTTTGAGGGCATAATTTTTTTTCCTCCTCTACTACTTTCAATTATAATTCCATTTTCTTCTGAGGTTTTTTTGCTTTTCGTTTCTGAGATGTAATTTTCCTCTGAGCCATTTTTAAGTCCTGAATGAGGGCTATCAGAATATTTATACGTCAATTTTAGTGGTGGCACGCTCAACCTGTAAGGCGTCATTCTGTATATACTAAGGGACATTAGCGATTGTTCTTAGAGTTTTAGATTGAAATCTTTGCTGCAAACCATAGGACCAAACGGGTTTTATTTTTGATATGAGCATTTTAAAAGGGCGGAGTAGATACGTGGGCGATACAACTGAAAGAATTTTAAGAATGTTTGAGATCTTTAGCATTGCGATCAATCGGGAAAGATTGCCTATTTGTGTTCCGACAGAAAGAGACTTTTCAGAGGTACTATGCAAGAGTGAGTGATGTCTTTTCTTACATATACTACATGAGCGGGAAGAGTTGCAGTCTTAAGAAAAATGTTTATTAACCAAACAATTTAAACAAATTTATGTAATAGTTAGGAATAAATATGTAAGATTTTATTGGTAAATAATATCTATTTTTTTTTCTTTATGTGTTGATGATCACCGCTTTTGTAGACCTACCTCTCATAAACCTATGATAAAATTTGGAACAATTCTATGGTTCCATACATACTTAAATGTGGCCAAATATTTTAAAGAAATGCTTGCATATATGCAACCCTACCAACGATCTAATTTTATTCAGGGTGTGCAAACAATTTAAACAACATTACATGTGAAACACCTCCAAGACTTTGCTGGACATTTTGTTGGGTCATTATGAAATCTAAGATATCTCTGACAAGGATTGTTTCCCATTTGGCGTGATTTTAATTGATGTCTTTCTGACTGGTTATTCCGGAATTTATTATGAGGGACGCTTAAGGTTGCCTCTGGATACTTGTTAATTTTACCTTTATAACTAGAGACTTTATTTATGACTTCTGAACTACTTATAGCCTTTGCCTGGTCTTCAGATAACTTCATACTTAGTGCAATTTTGACAGCTTTCCCATATGTTAAATCTTCCTCTGATAAAAGTTTCCTTCTAATCGCCTCCGATTTCAAACCACAGACAAACTTGTACCTAAGCGCCTCTGCCAGGAATGTACCAAACTCCGCATATTTTGACAATTTCTTTAGTTTTTCGATAAAAGAAGTTAGATCTTCTGAATTATCTTGCGAACAATTGTAAAATTTATATCTCTCCGCGATAACTAATCTTTTTGGACTATAATGATCTTTTAATGTTTTCTCCAGTTCGGCATATTTTTTTTGTACTAGGTATTTCAGGTGACAACAAATATTTTATCACCGCATATGTTTCTCCACCAATTAACGTCAAAAATAAGGGCACTTTTTTATTTTCCCCCATTTCGTTGCACACAAATAACTGTTCCATTCTCTCCAAATAACTAGCGATATCATCTTCCTTGGGCTTAAATGCCTTAATTGAACCAACTAGCGCCATTTTGTTTCACTTGTGGATTGTGCACGTGCACATAGACGGTTGTACAGACTTGTTTACTATTTTGACAAAAAAAAACACTTTGAGATTATCCTCTTTTTATCCCATCCTCGTCGCCAATATGTTATGTATTAATAATACTCAGACTGATTACAACTTAACGTTTATTCCAATACGATAACAAAACATGGCCATTCCCTAAATACGACTAAACGAAGAACTACTGAATGACAACTGTCACAACTACTTGGCCCTGTTTCTATTTCCGTTCACGGTTACTAGTGACAGGGTGCTTACACATATATAATACACTGAACTAACACTATTATACTTGATGTTACCGTAGTGTCAGCTTTTTAATAATTAGCACATTACATTATACAATTTTTATATACATATATGTAAGATTTTATTTATAAAAACTATCTATTTTTTTTTAGGTGTTGATGATCACCGCCTTTGTAGACCTACCTCTCATAAACCTATGATAAAATTTGGAACAATTCCATGGTCCCATACCGACTCAACTATAGCCAAATATTTTAAAGAAATGCATGCATATATGCAACCTTACCAACGATCTAATGTTATTCAGGGTGTTGCTGATGTTCTTAGCGGTGAAGTTGATGCTTTTATTTATGATGGAACAGTGTTGGATTACTTAGCTTCTCAAGATGAAGATTGTAGATTGCTGACTGTTGGTTCTTGGTATGCAATGACCGGATACGGACTTGCTTTTCCAAGGAATTCCAAATATTTAAAAATGTTTAACAAAAGGTAAGTTTGCTTGCTCATCATATTATTATTTTGTAATAATCTTATGAAAAAAAACTGGTCACCGACTTAAAAAATATATTTAATCAACCAAAAATATTATGGATATAATATATATATATATATATATATATATATATATATATATATATATATATATATATATATATATGTATATATATGTAATATACTACTCATCCTACTAATCAAGAGTAATTAAAGCCTATAATTATATACTGGCATGTTTTAAAAAAAAGAACATCAATAAAAATGTTTAATTAATTAAACATTAATTAATTTAATTTATTATTTTATAAATTTAATTTTATTGATTATTAATTTGATTAATAATTTATTAATTTTTTTATTTATTAAAATTTATTAATTTAAATTTTATTATTTAAAAAATTTTATTAATCAAAATTTTTATTAATTACTAGTAATGTTGCCCGTCACATTCGACAAGAAATCCAATCATTTACCATCTACAGTCACTCAATGAACTTATTGAAAAAAAAATTGAAAAGGGACCAATAATCTGTTCTCAAACCTGCTCTACATCAAGCTACTATTAGCATTGGTTTAAAACAAGTTGTACCGGTCTTATAAACACAATTAAATATTCTTGGTAACTATTTAATTCCTTTATGTTTTCCAATTTTCCTATCATGTTTCATTAAATGTATCGCACTTTCTGTTGATCTTCTATCTCTTGATAAGGCTATGAGACATATTTGTGATTAATTTGTTTATTTTATACATATATAGTAAGAATTATAACTAGGTACATAATAACTCCTAATAATGATAACTCGAAGGCTCGAATGAATTTATAAATTAAGAAATAGAATTGATCATTTTAAAACTTACGATACCCACCACAGTGAAAAATTTTCAAACTCTTTTGTAGAAAAACATAAACGTAATTGTTGTAATTTCATCAGTACTTTTACATTTACATTTCATGTATTTATAAAAAGATACATCTTTTAAAAATCGAGTTCTTAGTTTTTAACTGAATTAGATACGAAAAGTTGCTTGAGTTTTTCTCAAAAACTCGCTAAATTACCATTGTGTAATTTTACCACACCCTACTTGCTCGTAAATTTGAATAGAACTTTTTGACGAAATATCATTTTTCTAATGTTTCTTTTGTTATTTTTATTTTTTAACATTTGAAATAATTTTAATTTTTTTTTATCGTACTGCTGTAATGAACGTGCTATGTCAGTTTTGATTTGTGAAATCTTTTAATTTCTGTAAGTGTTTTTTAACATATATATATATATATATATATATATATATATATATATATATATGTATATATATATATACATATAAATAGATATATATATATATATATATATATATATATATATATATATATATATTTATATATATATATATATATATACGTAGGAAATTATAAGGTAAAGTGGTGGTAAAATGGCGTACAAAACATTTTAAAAAACACTTACAGAAATTTAAAAGATTTCACAAATCAAAACTGACATAGCACGTTCATTACAGCGGTACGATAAAAAAAAATTAAAATTACTTCAAATTTAAAAAAATTAAAATAACAAAAGAAACATTAGAAGAATGATATTTCTTTGATGAATTATTAAATACCCAGTACCAACCTTATACAAAAGTAATGTTGTTTATGAAATACCGTGTCTAGGATGTCAAAATAGCTACATTGACCAAACATCACAATGGCTAAAACAACGAATCACACAACATAAAAGTGATGGCTGCTTGGGAAAATATACTTGCGCAGTAGTTGAGTACTATGAAAACACCGGTCATATGCTAGACCAAGGATCACCAATTATATTCCCTGAGGGTCCGTTTCGAAAACCTACTAGACTTCCGCTTTCCGGATACTCAGCACTAAAAAAAGGCAGTGGCATACCCGGGTGGGGGGATTAGTCAAAAAGACTTCAGTAGATCATCCTGGTTACGTAGTTGAAACCAGGTAACTAGGCTACCTCGTTTAGGAAAAAGATGATTATAAAGCTGTTATATTGTTTTTTCTCCCGTCTTTGTTTAATAAATTTTTCCAGCGTAATTTAAAATATTTGTATCTTAGAACGTAATGTAATTATTTATTGCTACTGTTTCTGGTTGTTTCTTTTTTTTCTACAACTATAGTGTTCAACAAAAACAACACTTGGAAGTATTAACTAAAAACACGGTAAAAAGGATAAAAACGTAAATAATACTTACTAGAATAATGACTGATCGAAGACTACGATGCGAGAAGCAATACTGAGACTGAGACTAAGGATGCGCGATATTCATTGATGATTGATAAACATTGTACTTCTTGGCTCGATGGTCGATGTTTTGCCTTAGATATTTAGGTATTCGGTAACATCGATGCTTCTCTTCTTGTGGTGCCTATCCGTTACGGATGTTGGCTACTAGCATGGCAATTCTAACTTTATTGACTGCAGCTCGAAATAGTCCTGAAGTGGTCAGGAAAAACCATTTTAGTAAGTTCTGGAGCCAAGATATTCTTCTTCTTCCTGGTCCCCCCTTTCCGTAGACCTTTCCCTGTAATATGTTGCAGCAAGTTATATCTATGATCGTTTCGCATTATATGTCCAAGATATTCCAGCTTGCGCTGTTTCACTGTGGATATAATTTCACATGTTTTATCCATCCGACGTAGGACCTCAATGTTTGTTATTCGGTCCACCCGGAGATCCCCAGTATCCGTCTATAACACTACATCTCAAACGCCTCGATTTTTCCCATGGATGCCTCGGTTAGTGTCCATGATTCAACCCCATAGAGCAACACTGTAAACACGTAGCATCACAATAAATGGATTTTCGATTTAAAGGGTAGGTCGTGGCTCTTAAATATTTTACTCATTCTGACAAACGCTGACCTGGCTTTTTCAATTCTTTGTTTTATCTCAACTGAATGGTCCCATTGGTCGTTTATGGTGGTTCCTAAGTAGTAGTAACGGATCACTTGGAGTATTTTCTGCTGATCTACCAGTAATTGACTAGGTGGAATATGCTTCTTACTGATGACCATGTACTCTGTTTTCTTGATGTTAAAATCAAGCCCGTATTCTTGACTGATTCTCCACAATTGCGTTACTAGTCTATGTAAACCTTCTAAACTGTTTGCAAAGAGGATGATGTCGTCTGCATATCTGATGCTATTCAGGCGTTCACCATTTATGAAAATACCCTCTTCGATATGCTCTAAGACCTGGCTCATGCCAGGCTTAAATGCTTAATCGATGTTAAATGAAAATATCCAACCTCAATCCCAGTAATCTTTAGTTTTATTAAACACAATAGAATTATTATAAAATTTCACAGAATAGTTATGTATATATGTCAAAAATATGCAAATTGAAATAATGTTATTATGAAATACAAAAGAATATTTTTATACTCATTTTATTATGGTTCTATTATCTGAAACTTTTGAAACTTTGAAAAAACATTTTAGTTTTAAACTTGTTAATAGTTTGGTACGTCATAAATATGAAAATTAAAAAAATTGTATTATTCAGACAGCTTCCAGATTGTAGTTTGTTAAATTATTATTTTTAGGTAGGCGCTTCCTAAAATTTTGGAAAATCGTTTAGTCGAAACATATTGTTTAGATTACTATGTATTTCTATATAGTATTAGTACTTTCAAAGTGCCTTTCAAAAATGTATAGATATTTATTATAGCTATATATTATATCTATATATTTAGATATAGATTATAATTTTACACTATAATTTTATTACTACATTTTGAATTTAACGGCGGTCCGCAAATAGCTCACGGTCCAAATGCGGACTGCGATCCGCCATTTGGTGACCCCCTGTGCTAGACTATATCAAAGCTCACATTTTAGCACAGGCTGATAACTACAAAAGTGAATTATTTGTTGAAATGTATCACATTCACAAAAATAAAAACACTTTAAATTATAAATCGGACACTGAACAGTTAAGCAACATATATTATAATACATTAAACAAAATTTATAAATATTCAAATAGCTAACATTTACCTTAATAACTATTAACCTTAATAATTCATTAAAGAAATATCATTATTCTAATGTTTCTTTTGGTATTTTTATTTTTATATTTGAAATAATTTTAATTTTTTTTATCGTATTGCTAAACGTGCTAAATTGAAGATAACCGTATGCCGACATCTCTTTTACTGAGACAATTTAGCTTTTTTCAATTTCTATGGCTTTTCAGATAATTCTTGGTTTATAGAAGCGGATGAAAGCTGTAACGACTATTTTGCTTACCACAGGGTAAGAATATGGGGGTACAAGATTGGGCAAACAAAATAATCGAAACAAGTGCGTACGGTACTCAGTTGGTTGTTGGAGAGCTGGGTCGTGGATAAGTTGAAGATATTGGGGGTTAGATTGAAGCAACTACAAAAAAAAAATAAATAAAAAGGTACTTATACAAATCTCTTGGAACAAACAGAATGAAAATAAACGGAAACACCTCAAGAAATTTAATATAGGGCGCCACATGTGGTGCCTAATTATACCTATTACAACCACTAGTTGTAACTAGGGAAATAGTTATAGAACATCAAAAATATAGAAAAAACTATCTTTTTCAAATAAAACTCAAAATAGATCAGAGAATTAAACATTTATTTTTGTCTCACCAAACAGTTTTCAAAAATACAGCTTATACAAAGGCATATTATATAAAAATAGCTGTCAAATACAAATGAAAAAACTTACATATCTGTTTTCAAAAGGTTACAAAAATCTTCGAAATGGTTCCTAGCAAATAACGTGGCCAAATTAGATTAAAATTTTATGGATATCCTTTTGTGAAAAATAAAATTTAATCTTTACTATAAAATCAAAATATCTTTTACGAAAGATTAAACATCAAACTGTCATACGCCAAAACAAACATTTTTAAAACAGGATAAAATTATGACATGACAGTTTAAACCACGCCCTAACATAATATTTATTTTAATTACAAATAT